GGGCTCTCTGCGTTCCAGCTCTTTTTGAAGGACAACGTGGAGATACAGCGCACGCCACGGCGCCTGAGAGCTTACAGCGGCGCCTTCGTGCCCTTTTGCCCTCGGGCAGGCGGCATGGGCGTGGGGGGGGACGTCAGGGCGTTCAAGGATCTCACGGTCAGCCTCAGCCTCAGCCTGCTTCAGCCTCGGCCTCAGTCTGCCTTCAGCCTCGGCCTCAGCCTCAGCCTGCCTCAGCCTCAGCCTGCATCAGCCTGAGCCTCAGCCTCAGCCTGCCTCAGCATCAGCCTGCCTCAGCCTCAGCCTCAGCCTGCCTCAGCCTCAGCCTCAGCCTGCTTCAGCCTCGGCCTCAGTCTGCCTTCAGCCTCGGCCTCAGCCTCAGCCTGCCTCAGCCTCAGCCTGCATCAGCCTCAGCCTCAGCCTCAGCCTGCCTCAGCATCAGCCTGCTTCAGCCTCAGCCTGCCTCAGCCTCAGCCTGCTTCAGCCTGAGCCTCAGTCTGCCTTCAGCCTCGGCCTCAGCCTCAGCCTGCCTCAGCCCCAGCCTGCCTGAGCCTCAGCCTCAGCCTGCCTCAGCATTCAAAATGTGGCCCGGGAATGGAGTTCTGGGAACTCGAAGAACACGAAGTGGCCTGCAGTTGGCTCCGGGCATTCAAAATCATGCCCAGGAATGGAGTTCTGGGAACTCGAAGACCACGAAGTGGCCTACAGTTGGCTCCGGGCATTCAAAATCATGCCCAGGAATTGAGTTTTGGGAACTCGAAGAGCACGAAGTGGCCTACAGTTGGCTCCGAGCATCCAAAATGTGGCCCGGGAATGGAATTCTGGGAAGACGAAGAGCACGAAGTGGCCTACAGTTGGCTCCGAGCATCCAAAATGTGGCCCGGGAATGGAATTCTGGGAAGTCGTAGAGCACGAAGTGGCCTACAATTGGCTTCGGGCATTCAAAATGTGGCCCGGGAATAGAGTTCTGGGAGGTCGAAGAGCACGAAGTGTGTGACTGTTTGGTTAAAACGAGCCCGGCCCTGAGCCCGGCCCTCGCTGTCCGGATGCCGGCCAGACCTCCCTTCTGAGTCATCAGATGCTCTCTTTTGACACCACTAGAAACCTATCAGTCTTCGCTGTCAGGTAATGAATTTCTGGAAATGCCAGAAATTCTAGAAATTCCAGAAATTCCAGATAATCAAAAGAAAAGCCAACAATTCCGGAAATTCCAGAAATGTCAGAAATTCCAGAAAGTCCGTGGAATTCACATATTCCGGAAATTGCAGAAATGCCAAATATTCCGGATACACATACACATACACATACGTACGCCGCCCACACACACGCACACTGACGGGGCGAGAACGGAGCGACCCAATCCGGGAAACTGGCTCTTGTGTCGGCTCTTGTCGCGCGCGAGCATGCGAGGCGGAACTACTGAAGAGCGATGATCCGCTGGCCAAGGTTGGGACCAGGCCACGTCGCCCAAAAAAATCACGCACCCACCCCGCCAGTCCTGCGGTGTCCCTGGAGAGCCCGAAGAGCACCCACAAGAAAGAGGACACCATTATGGAGTGTCCCTTCCTTCGATGTATGAAGGCTTTTAGCGTTCTCGCTCAATCGGGCTCCAGACGCTCCAAGACGTCTCAGAGGGACCAAAAGATCGCCCCGAGACGGCGCACAAGGCCCCCAAGGCCCCCAAGAGGGCCCCAAGAGGGCCCCCAAGAGGGGGAACACGAACTGACATTTCGAACCCTGGTCCCCAAAAGGTGTCCAAGGAGCCCCGGGCGGCCCACAAGTCAAAAGAGGCCTCAAGAGGCCCCCAAGAGGACCTCGAAAGGCCCCAAAACACCACATTTGCATCCAAGAAGCATCCAAGAGACCTCTCAAGAGATCCCAACAGGTATCCAAAGGCCTTTGACCCACAACCCAAGCACGGTGGCAGGATGGTCCGAAGGCCACCAGCGAGGGATATCCGCCGCCCCCTTGTGATTTATCACAGGGGTGCCTGGCGTGCTGGATCCTATCGGTTTTGGTTTTGGTTCTTTTCCAAAAGAACTCCCCCTGGGGCTTCAGCGCGTCCCGCCGGCCATCCGGAAAGGCTCTCAAGGAGCTCAATTCCGCAATCTTTCCCTCAAGATGGCCCAAGATGGCCTCCAAGATGGCCACGTTGGCCCAAGATGGCCTCCAAGATGGTCCAAGATGGCCTCCAAGACGGCCCAAGAGAGTCCAAGATACCTCCAAATTCGCCCAAGAAGCCTCCAAGACGGCCCAAGACAACCCAAGAGGCCTCCAAGAGGTCCTCAAGGAAGGGCCCGAAGAGGCCAAAATCATTGATGTTCCTAAGGTTTTGACAGATTTGGGTATTTGCTTCTTTTCGGCCTTCCGACGGCTCAAGACGGCCCAAGAGGCCCCCAAGATCGCCCCACGATCGCCCACGAGGCCTCCAAGATGGCCCCATGACGGCCCAAAAAGCTCCGAAGACGGCCCCAAGAGGGCCCCAAGACGACCCAAGAGGCGTCCAAGGCGCCCAAGATGGCCTCGAAGACAGCCCTGACGACGAGGCCCCCAAGACGCCCCCAAGATGCCCACAAGGCCCCCATGACGGCCCAAGAGGCCCCCAAGACGGCCCCAAGACGGGCCCAAGAGGGCCCCAAGACGGGCCAAGAGGCCTCCAAGACGCCCAAGATGGCCCCTAAGACGGCCCCGAAGCGCCCCAAGAGGGCCCCAAGTCCGCCCAGAGAGGCCCCCAAGACGGCTCCCGACGGCGACAGACGTGCCAGGAACCCACCAAGATGGCCAAAGTTGGCTCGAAGCTGGCCCAAGACGGCCCAAGAGGCCTCCAAGAGGGCCTCCAGGAAGGCCAGAAAAGGCCAAAAACACTTATCTTCCTTAGGTTTTTGAAAGGTTTTGACGTTTGCTTCTTTTCGGCCTTCCGACTGCCCGAGACGGCCCAAGAGCCCCCAAAGATCCCCCAAAGATCGCCCAAGAGGCCTCCAAGATAGCCCCAGAACGGCCAAAGAGGCCCCCAAGACGGCCCCAAGAGGCCCCAAGACGGCCCAGGAAGCCTTTAAGACGCCCAGGATGGCCTCTTGGGCCGCCCTGGAGCATTCCAAGAGGGCCCCAAGTCGACCCAGAGAGGCCCCCCAAACGGCTTCCGACGGCAAGACGGCCGAAGATGGCCCTAAGATGACCCAAGACAGCCCAAGAGGCCTCTAAGAGGGCCTCCAGGAAGGCCCGGAAAAGCCAAAATCATTGATTTCCTATCAGTTTTTGAAGGATTGTGTCATTTGCTTTTTTTCGGCCTTCCGACGGCCCTGGACGGCCCAACTGCCCCCAAAGATCGCCCAAGAGGCCCTCAAGACGGCCCCAAGAGGCCCCCAAGACGGCCCAAGAGGCCTCCAAAGAGCCCTTTAAGACGTCCTCCAAGAAGGCCCGAAAGGGTCCAAATGGCCTCCAGACGGCCAAGATGACCTTCAAGAAGCCCACGTGTTCCCCGAAGGCTTTCCAAACCGACTCGGGGAACACATGGTCCGATAGCTTGGCGGGTCTGGCTTCAACGTTCGGCCACATAGGCGCTTCCAAACAGGCAGGGGGCGGCAGTGACTCGCCGTAGGCGTCTTCGATCCGCCGCCCTCTGTTGGCGTGCCACAGGGGTGCCCGGCGTGCTAGACCCTTTCGGTTTTGGTTTTGGTTTTTCCAAAAGAACTCCCCCTGGGGGTTCGGCCCGTCATGCCGGCCACCCGAAAGGGATCTCAATCCCGGAACAATCCCCCAAGATGGTCATATTGGCCCAAGATGGTATCCAAGATGGTCCAAGATGGCCTCCAAGTCCGCCCAAGATGGTCCAAGACGGCCTCCAAGACGGCCTAAGATGGCCTCAAGATTCCCCAAGACGGCCCAAGAGGCCCCCAAGAGGTCTCCAAGATGGCCCAAGAGGCCTCCAAGAGGGCCTCCAGGAGGACTCGAAGGGTTTTGACAGGTTTTGGCATTTGCTTCTTTTCTGCCTTCCGACGGCTCAAGACGGTCCAAGAGGCACCCAAGATCGCCCCAAGATCGCCCACGAGGCCTCCAAGATGGCCCCATGACGGCCCCAGAGGCCCCCCAAGAGGCATCCAAGATGGCCAAGATAGCCTCCAAGACGGCTAAAATGACCCCAAGATGCCTCCAAGATGGCCCAAGATGCATCCAAGACGGCCTAAGATGGCCTCAATAGTGCCCCAGACGGCCCAAGAGTCTCCAAGAGGTCTCGAAGACGGCCCAAGAGGCCTCCAAGAGGTCCCCCAAGAGGACCCGAAGAGACCAACATCATCGCTTTTCCTTATGTTGTTGAAGCATTTTGGCATGTGCGTCTTCTCGGCATCCCGACGGCTGAAGACGGCCCAAGATGTCCCAAAGATCGCCACAAGATCGCCCACGAGGCCTCCAAGATGGCCCCATGACGGCCCCAGAGGCCCCCCCCAGAGGCCCCCCAAGAGGTCGTCCAGGAGGGCCCGAAGAAACCAAAATCATTGTTTTTTTTCAAATGGTTTTGACAGATTGCGGCATTTGCTTTCTCGGCCTTCCGACGGCTCAACACGGCCCAAGATGCCCCAAGATCGCCCCAAGATCGCCCACGAGGCCTCCAAGATGGCCCCATGACGGCCCAAAAAAGCTCTGAAGACGGCCCCAAGAGGGCCCCAAGACGACCCAAGAGGCGCCCAAAATGGCCTCGAAGACAGCCCTGAAATGCCTAAAGATGGCCCCAAGACGACCCAGACAGGCCCCCATGACGGCTTCCGACGGCGTCAGACAAGCCAGGAACGCCCTAAGACTGCCAAAGAGACCCCCAAAACCAAAGGCCCCCAGCATGCCCAAGGAGGCCCCGAAGAGGCCTCCAAGAGGCCCCCAGCAAGCCCCCAGGAAGCCCCAGGAGTGCCCCAGAAGGCGCCCAAGAGGCCTCCTCCTCCTCCTTTTTCCTGATCCTCTCCCTCCTCCACGTCTTGCCCCCCCCCCCACGCGTTCCCAGAAGTTTTTCCAAACCGACTCGGGGAACAACTGGCCCGATAGCTTGGCCGAGCTCTGGCCCAACTCTCGGCCACATAGGCGTTTTCCGCCGCCCCCTGTTGATTCATCAGAGGAGTGCCTGGCGTGCTGAATCATTCCGCTGTTTTTCTTTTTTTCCGCGACCAGCTCTTGAAAAATTATCCTGGCGAAGGACCCAACCATATGCAATTGTGAATAACGCTTTGTGGGTGCCGCTTTCGGTGGGGCTCCTTATGGGGCCACGAAAGGCGTGCCACGAAACGCTGTCCTGGGTGTACGGGACGCATGAGGGCGCTAGCACTGGGGCCTTCGGTGGAACTCCCTATGGTGCCACGAAACGTGTGCGGGGTGTGCCGGAATGGGTGCGGCGCCGCCATGCGGACGCAGCCACTGGGGCCTTCGGTGGAGCTCCCTAGGGGGCCACGAAACGTGTGAGGGGTGTGCCGAAATGGGCGCGGCGCCGCGGACGCAGCCACTGGGGCCTTCGGTGGAGCTCCTTAGGAGGCCACGAAACGTGCGAGGGGTGTGCCGAAATGGGTGCGGCGCCGCCATGCGGACGCAGCCACTGGGGCCTTCGGTGGAGCTCCCTATGGGGCCACGAAACGTGTGAGGGGTGTGCCGAAATGGGTGCGGCGCCGCCATGCGGACGCAGCCACTGGGGCCTTCGGTGGAGCTCCCTAGGGGCCACGAAGCGTGTGAGGGGTGTGCCGAAAGGGCGCCGCCCGCCGACGCAGCCACTGGTCCTCGGTGTCGCTCCTAGGGGTTACGAAACGTGTGAGTGGGTGTGCGCCATGGGTGGCGGTGCCGCCATGCGAACGCAGCCACTGGTGGGGCCTTCGGTGGAGCTCCCTATGCCACGAAACGTGAGGGGTGTGCCGAAATGGGTGCGGCGCCGCCATGCGGACGCAGCCACTGGGGCCCTTCGGTGGAGCGCCCTATGGGGCCACGAACGTGTGAGGGGTGTGCCGTGGGATTGGGCAGTGGGGCTGGTGGAGCCGACGAATGTGAGGGGTGTGCCGGAATGGGTGCGGCGCCGCCATGTGGACGCGGCCACTGGGGCCTTCGGTGGAGCTCCCTATGGGGCCACGAAGCGTGTGAGGGGTGTGCCGAAATGGGTGCGGTGCCGCCATGCGGACGCAGCCACTCGGGCCCTCGGTGGAGCTCCCTATGGGGCCACGAAACGTGTGAGGGGTGTGCCGAAATGGGTGCGGTGCCGCCATGCGGACGCAGCCACTGGGGCCCTCGGTGGAGCTCCCTATGGGGCCACGAAACGTGTGAGGGTTTCCGAAAGGGTGCGGTGCCGCCATGCGACGCAGCCACTGGGGCCAATCGGTGGAGCTCCTATGGGGCCTACACGAACCGTGTGAGGGGGTTGCCGAAATTGATGCGGCGCCGCATGCGGACGCAACCCTGGGCCGTTCGGTGGAGCTCCCTATGGGGCCACGAAACGTGTGAGGGTGTCCGAAATGGGTGGCAGTGCCGCAACGGCGGACGCAGCCATGGCCTTCGTTGAGCTCCCAATGGGGCCACGGAACGTGTGAGGGTGTTGCCGAAATTGGTGCGGTGCCGCCTGCGGACGCCAGCCATGGGCCTTCGGTGGAGCTCCCCTATGGGGCCACGAAGCGTGTGAGGGGTGTGCCGAAATGGCGCGCGCGCTGCCGGACGCAGCCACTGGGGTGCCTTCGGTGCACGGCTCCCGTATGTGGCCACGAAAACTGTGAGGGTGGTGCCGACAAATGGGTGCGGTGCCGCCGACGCGGACGCAGCCACTGGGGCCTTCGGTGGAGCTCCCTATGGGGCCACGAAACGTGTGAGGGCTGTGCCGAAATGGGTGCGGCGCCGCCATGCGGACGGGCCTTCGGTGGAGCTCCCTATGGGGCCACGAAACGTGTGAGGGGTGTGCCGAATTGGGTGTGCGGGACGCATGCGGCGGCAGCACTGGGGCCTTCGGTGGAGCTCCCTATGGGGCCACGAAACGTGTGAGGGGTGTGCCGAAATGGGTGTGGTGCGCATGCGAACGCAGCCACTGGGGCCTTCGGTGGAGCTCCCTATGGGGCCACGAAGCGTGTGAGGGGTGTGCCGAAATGGGTGCGGCGCCGCCATGCGGACGCAGCAACTGGGGCCATCGGTGGAGCTCCCTATGGGGCCACGAAACGTGTGAGGGGTGTGCCGAAATGGGTGCGGTGCCGCCATGCGGACGCAGCCACTGGGGCATTCGGTGGAGCTCCCTATGGGGTCACGAAACGTGTGAGGGGTGGGAGGAGGGAGGAGGGAGGAGGCAGAGGAGGAGGAAGGAAGGAGAGGAGACGCGGGGCACCATCTCTTCAAAACGAGGACCCAACACCACAGGATGGTTGGGAAATAATGCAGTCAATTCACTGGGCTGACAGCAGGCGGACGTCGCCTGCAAGCCAGCATTGCAGCCTGACACTGGTGCGTGCGAAAACGTGGCGCTCGAGCGCCAAAGGGTTGGTGCTGAATGTAGCCGCAACCTTACAAAAGGACTGCGCCGTCTGTGTCGGACCAGACTAGGCAGTTACTGATCCTATGAAGAGAAAAAACGTGGCTTCTCGAAGCCAAAGGTGAGTTGGCGTAGATGATACAGGCACTGCGTCGTGCTAAATACGGTGCGCCGACTCGTGCTCATCGATCTCCGCGTCCTGCTCCGACTAGTTGACCTCAACCTCCGCGTTGTGAATGAAGAAGATCAAGACACCAGCGAAGACTGCAATTAATCCCCATGGCTCGGTGGTGGCTGTGGTGTTTGACGTGTCCGAACTCGTGCCCGTATCGGTGGTCGTCGTGGCCGTCTCGGTGGTCGTCGCGGTGGTCGTCTCAGTTGTTGTCTCGGTGGTTGTCTTGATGGTGGTAGTAGTGCTTGACGTCGCGGAACTCGTGGCCGTCTCGGTGGTGACGATGGTGCCGTCGAACACGTACGCGGAGCCAGACTGAGTGCCCTGATCGTCGCCATAGTAGGCCCCCACCACCACGCGGGCCCCGTCGGAGCTCACGGCCACCGAATTACCAAATTTTTCGTATCTGGCCCCATCACTCGCCACAAGCTTGAGCAGCCTCTCGCCGGTGGCACCGTCGAGCACGTACGCGGAGCCGGAGCTGTCGTCGTCACCCCAGGCCCCCACCACCACGCGGGCCCCGTCGGAGCTCACGGCCACCGAGAATCCGAAATTGTCGCCTACGGCCCCATCACTCGCCACAAGCTTGAGCAGCCTCTCGCCCGTGGTACCGTCGAGCACGTACGCGGAGCCAGAATTGCTGCCCTGGTCGTCGTCACCCCGGGCCCCCACCACCACGCGGGCCCCGTCGGAGCTCACGGCCACCGAGGTTCCGAAATAGTCGCCTGCGGCCCCATCACTCGCCACAAGCTTGAGCAGCCTCTCGCCGGTGGCCCCGTCGAGCACGTACGCGGAGCCAGAATTGCTGCCCTGGTCGTCGTCCCAAGAGGCCCCAACCACCACGCGGGCCCCGTCGGAGCTCACGGCCACCGAGGTTCCGAAAAAGTCGCCTGCGGCCCCATCACTCGCCACAAGCTTGAGCAGCCTCTCGCCCGTGGTACCGTCGAGCACGTACGCGGAGCCAGACTGAGGGCCCTGATCGTCGTCATAGTAGGCCCCCACCACCACGCGGGCCCCGTCGGAGCTCACGGCCACCGAGGTTCCGAAACAGTCGTCTGCGGCCCCATCACTCGCCACAAGCTTGAGCAGCCTCTCGCCCGTGGTACCGTCGAGCACGTACGCGGAGCCAGAATTGCTGCCCTGGTCGTCGTCACCCCAGGCCCCCACCACCACGCGGGCCCCGTCGGAGCTCACGGCCACCGAAGTACCGAATCTGTCGAGCGAGGCCGCATCACTCGCCACAAGCTTGAGCAGCATCTCGCCAGTGGCCCCGTCGAGCACGTACGCGGAGCCAGAATTGGTGCCCTGGTCGTCATAGTAGCCGGCCCCCACCACCACGCGGGCCCCGTCGGAGCTAACGGCCACCGATTTACCGAACTTGTGGTACTCGATCCCATCATTCACCAAGAGCTTGAGCAACTGCTCGCCGCTTGTAGCCTGGCGCCTCCCGAACTCGGCCTGCGGCTCGCGAGGGCGACCGCTCGCCGAGCCCTCCAGCCTCGGGCGGGCCAGCGTCCCGCTCGCCGGCGACCCGGCACTCGGGGCGCCGCGCGCTACCAGCAGAAGGAGCAGCGCGCCGACGCTATGAGACGTGCGAAAGCGCATCATGCCGTCTGCAAATGTGCAAAACTGAGAGGAACGAGAGACGCCCGAGGGGAGCCCTGGGAGGCCGGCGACGGCCCCTCGGAACCTTGAGCCGCCAAAATTGCTTCGGACCTTCCGCTTTTTGTTGGGGCTCTTTTCCCAGAAGAACTCCCCCTGGCGCTTCGGCCCTTCCCGCCGGCCACCCGAAAGGGAGCTCCAGGAGCTCAATCCCAGAAAAATCCCCCAAGACGGCTCCAGATGGCCTCCAAGATGGCCTCCAAGTCCGCCCAAGATGGCCTCCAAGACGGCCCGAGAGAGTCCAAGATGCCTCCAATTCGTCCAAAGAAGGCCCCAAGACGACCCAAGAGGCCCCCAAGACGCCTAGGCTGCCTCGAAGGCCGCCCTGACACGGCCCATGAGGGCCTGAAGTCGGCTCCGAGAGGCCCCAAAGACGGTCTCGGACGGCGTCAGATGGGCCAGGAACGCTCTAAGACGACCAAAGCCTCTCTCAAAGAGTCCCCAGAGGTCCCCAAGAAGGCCAAGGAGGCCTCCCGAAAAGTATTCAAAAGGTCCACAGGAAACGGCGCGCGCGCGAGAGAGAGAGTGGCGGCGGCGACGACGGCGACGACGACTGACGTCGACGACGACGAGGACCATCCTCCTCCTTTTCCTCCTCCTCCTCCTCCTCCTCCTTCTCCTCCTCCTCCTCCTCCTCATCATGATCATCATCCGCCGACTCCTCATCCTCATCCTCATCACCCTCCTCTTCCTCCTCCTCTTCCTCCTCCTCCTCCTCCTCCTCTTCCTCCTCCTCCTCCTCCTCCTTCTCCTCCTCCCCCTCCTCCTCCTCCTCCTTCTCCTCCTTCTTCGAGCCGACTTCTGGCCGTCTGGGGACCATCTTGGGCGTTTGGGAAGCGTCTGGGGCAATCTTGGAATCTTTTTGGGCCCGTCTTGGGGGGCATCTTAAGCCCCCCGCTCTCTTTGAAAAGGGGGGCCCCTGGCTCCGGAACCCGATCCCTACCCCACCACCCACTACGCACCACCCAATACGCACCACTCACGACTCACTACTCAGAATTCACTACTCAGCACTCACTACACCCTAGTGACAAGGCTGGGGCCGGCGCCGCTATCCTGAGGAATTTCTGGGGCCAGGCATTACTCGCTGCTCGCTACTCGCAACTCGCAACTCGCTACTCCTTTCTCCCCAATCCCTTCTCCCTGCTCGCAACTCGATATTCGCAACTCGCTACTCCCTTCTCCCTGCTCGCAATTCGCTACTCGCATCTCGCTGCTCGCTACTCCCTACTGGGAACTACACACTACTCACGACCCGCGACTCACGACTCACTACCCCCTACTCCCCACTCCCTATCCCCTACTCTCTACTCGCGGCCAACGACTCACTCTGTATCCCCTACTCTCTACTCACGGCCCTGCTTTTCTGAGGACCTATTGGATTTCTGAAACTCCCGGGATTTTTCGATTTCTGGAATGTCGGGATTTTCTGGATATACTCACGACGCACTATTCAGATATACTCACAACACACTACCCACAATGCGCCACTCACCGCGCACTTTCTCTATTCTAGGAGTTTTCTGAACATTTGTTGGATTTCTGGAATTTCTGGAATTTCTGGAGTTTCGTGGAATTTCTGAAATTTTTGGAATTTCTTGAAGTTCTGGGGTTTCTAAAAATTTCTGGAATGTCTGGAATTTCTCGAATTTCTGGAATTTCTGGAATTTCTGTGATTTCTGGAATTGTTTGAGTTTCTCGAGTTTCTGGAATTTGTGGATTTTCTGTGGTTTTGTAAAATGTGTAAAATTGCAACACTTCTAAGCAGTATTCTCAACGCACACTTCAAACAAAGAAATCCCAGAAATTCCGAACATTCCAAACATTCCCGAAATTCTAAACATTCAAAAGATTCCAGACATCCCAGAAAATCCAGAAATTCCAGAAATTCCAGAAATTCCCCAGGATAGCGGCGCCAGCCCTGGCCTGCAATGCATGTTAGAGCTCCGTCCCAACGTATTTATCAAGTGGTCGAACTGTTCCTCGCAATACATGTTGCGGCTGATGACCGAGATTGGGAGAGCATCCACCTTCAAGCTCATCTGCAACATTGTGAATGCTTCATCATCGTCAACAGCTTTGGTACCAAGTGTGGCGCCACGCTCGAAAAATTGCCCGATCCATGTCGTGATTGTTTTTTTTTTTTTACGGCGGTTGCCACATACCTGAAGTCCCGTTCCCGTAACCTGCAATGCATAATTCTGCAAGCCGGTTCGTGCCGAGGTTGTATAAAGCTTCGCGTACCTCGGGTAGAAATACATCGTAACCTGGGTCGTTGTTGCCAGGTTCCACAGGGGTCGCTGCAGCGGCCGCCGCTGCCATCTCTGCTTTGGAACCCGAAGGGCGAATCACGGGCTCCGATACCATGAAAATCTGGCAGGACTTATCCACGAGGAGACAAGATGGTACTTGAGCCAAACACTTGCGGCCTGCAAGACCCATGCACCACTAGACCTCCCAAACCGCATTGCTCACCCAGTCCCATGGCCATATTCTAACACCTCCTTGTCCGCCTTCTCCTTCTCCTCCTCCTCCTCCTTCTCCATGGTCTCCTCCTCGTTCCCCTCCGCCTCCTACTCTTTGTTGGATGCCCTTTCAAAAGGCGCGTTTGGTATCACGGAGCCCTCTCGCAGCACGCTCGAAAACTCTTGGAAGCCTGCCAACGTTCCCGAACATATCCGAACACCTCCTGCATAATCTTCCAGTGTCGGGGGCACCGGCCGTAAGGCCTCTCCAAGAATCGATACTGTCTACGCTGACGCGTGAGACCATGGCAATCGCTGAAGCCATATAAGACACACTGGTTTTGTTGTCCCCCGTTCATCTGGACGTGCGTTCCGCCTCGCTGCGCGTGGCTACTTCATCATTATTGTAATATCCCTCTGGCCCTTGAGAAAGTTGCAACAAGGGCGAGTGAGGGGGCAGCCAACAGGGAGGTGCGTGCCCTGGCATGAGGCATGCTCGTCACCGAGCCTGCTTCGCATGCGTTGCTGTGTGGATGCCCACGCGGCGGCGCAAGGGTAATCTTTAACAGGGAAAGCACACAGACACGAAGAATCGCCGATTCCCAGGAGGCTCTGGGAAACAAGCGGGAACTGGGGGTGAAGACGACGGTCCATCAAAAATTGAACCATGTCAGGAGTCCTGGGCATTGTGTGCCCACACACCCCTCGTGCCCATGCCCCCCTCGTCCCCCTCGTGGCCACATTTCCCCTCGTCATTCTCGTGCCCTCACCCGTCCCCCATCCCTCATCCACCCCGGTCCTCGTGCCCACAACGTCCCTCGTCCCCTCGTGCCCATGACCCCCATGCCCTCACCCCTCATCCCCCCGTCGTCCTCCTCGTGCCCGTCGCTTCCCTCGTCCGCCTGGTGCCCATATCACCTAGGGCGATGAGCACAGGAGGTAGCAGTTAGGGAGCGGGGACGGCGGCGGGGGACGGCCGGCGGAAGCGCGTGGCTCGGTGCCCGGGCTGCGCCCTGCGGCAGCCCGGGCACCGCTCGAAGGCGTGTCTCAAGGGAAGGGGGGCGTCCAGGAGGGGAGGGGAGGGGGGGGGGGTAGGAGGAGGAGGAGGAGGAGGAGGGAGGAGGAGGAGGAGGAGGAGGAGGAGGGGAGGAGGAGGAGGAGGAGGAGGAGGAGGAGGAGGAGGAGGAGGGGAGGACGAGGAGGGAGGAGGAGGCGGAGGAGGGAGGAGGGAGAGAGGGAGGAGGGAGGACGGGCAGGAGGGGGGAGGGAGGAGGGAGAGGCTGAGGAGGGAGTCTTAGAGGAGGGGAGTCGGGAGAGGGAGGAGGGAGGAGGGGAGGCGGGAGGAGGGAGGAGGGAGGAGGAGGAGGAGGAGAGGAGGGAGGAGGAGGAGGAGGAGGAGGAGGAGGAGAAGGAGGGGTGGGGGAGAGGAGTGGGAGGGGAAACGCCCTCCCAGGGGGAGGCGTGGTGCCCCAGGGGGGCAAAGCTCGGAGGCGTGTCCCACCCAGGGGGGGGGTGGGGGGGGGCGTCCCAGGGGGCAAAGCTCGGAGGCGTGCCCCAGGGAGGAAAGGGGGGGGGAGGGGGGGGCAAAACTCGGAGGCGTGTCCCAAGGGGGGTCCAAGAGGGGGTGAGGTAGGAAGGCGCACCAACTATACACCAACACCGATCCTGGCCAGGATCACCCTGGGCCCAGGATCGGTGTATACGCCCTCCTGCCTTGCGCAAGAAGGCATATACACCGATCCTGGGCCCAGGGTGATCCTGGGCCAGGATCGGTGTTGGTGTATAGTTGGTGCCCTCCGATGAGGGGCGGGGGGAACGCCTATCGAGGCAGCAGAAGAGCTGCTCAGTGATCGAACTCATTCGGTCATTTCTCGAGTAGCAAGCCGAGCTCAGGTTCCCCGAGACTGCATACAGTGCGTGCGCGGCCACAAGAAGCCCTCGCAAGAAACCCAACCCTGAAAACCCGCGCGCGAGGTCCACCTGAGGAGAAACCCGGAGCACCCTGAACACAGCAGTTTTTGTTACTGCCGCGGGAAGTCACCGCGCAGCGCGCAGAGCGAAGAAACCCACGGTATCCTTACTTCTTTAGTCAGCGGCCGCAGGCGAAGGCGCCGACGGCGTGTCCAGTCAGAGCGGGGGACAAATACCCTTACGAGAAGCATCTGGTTTCTTGATGCGCGCCCCCGCTGTAGCGACGATGTTGATCATGCCTGCGTTTCCTCAGCGGGAGAGCTCCGAAGGTGCCCTGAATCGCGAGATCCAGTAAAACACCGCTCGAGGCAGCAGGAGGGGCCTTGAGGCCCGCGGAGATGTCATGGCCCAGGCCATGACATCTGAGTACCTCCCCCTCCTAGTGCTAAGTCGGGCATGTCCCCTTACAGGGGGATTTTGGGGCGAAACATACAAAAAATACCCCCCGAATGTTCAAAAAAAGTCGAAACATCGGCGCCTGACTATTTTTTTAAACTATTTTTGAATATTCCCCTCCTTTGGTCGCCCGACTTACTCCTAGTCCTCGCCCCTCCTCTGGTCGCCCTCGAAAAAAAGAGCGGGCGGGCGGGCACGAGCGCGGGTGCGACGAGCGGGCGCACGCGCTGGCCTCCACGACGTACTGCCCCACATACGTGGCGAGGAAGGAGGTCACAATGGCGATGGCCAACGTCGTCGGGCTCCGGTCCTGCACGGGCTCGCCCGGGGGGGGGGGAGGGGGTAGTAGGGAAGCGAGCTCTATACACCGACGCTTCTTCCGACCCTGCGCGGAAATCCGCACAGGAGCGCGGATCCTGGTGTATACGGCATCATGGTGTATACATGTTTCATTGTTTCCCCCGGAAAGCGGGGAAAAAGGTATACACCACACCGCCCCGACGTCGTCCCCGACCCTCAAAAAAATCCTGGGATTGAAAAACAGCCCGCTACTGGTGATGTATATGTTCCAGTTTCCTGGGTAAATCCACGGAGAGGCAGAGAGACACACAGACAGAGAGACAGACAGCCAGACAGACCGACAGACAGACAGACAGACAGACCGACAGACAGACAGACAGACAGACAGACAGGCCGACGGACAGACAGACAGACAGTCAGAGGGGTAGGGAGGAAGAGAGGGAGAGGGAGAGGGGGAGAATCGCTCCCTCTCTCCCCCTTCCTGACTCCCACAGCAGCCAGGAATCCCCCGCTCCCCATGGGAACCTCCACGAGTAGATCCCCCCTCGGTGGGAGCGGCGATGAGAGGAGGCCCTTCTCAGGGGCCGCGCCAGACGTCTTGACATGCGACCCCGATCGCTGACACTGAGCCCTCAGCAATGCCGGGCCTGAGCCTGTCAACGGCTCCCCGAGCCCCCTGGAGCCCTTCTCCGCTGCACTGGCTCTGCCTGGCAGAGGCGCAGCATCTAAATGCGTCAAGCGGCGGAGACACATGCGTACAGTCGGGGCGTTGACCTAAGGAACCCTAAATAAAGAAGGAGGCCCCTTTTTCCCATAAGTTAACCTGCGATTTCCTGTCGAAAGCATAAGGAAAGCCTGAGGCAAGCTGTGAAACACTTCAGGAACGCGGAGCCCCTTCCCAACGAAAAGGGTTCCTTCTTCAGGGCCCCGACTGCATGCGCAGAACAAGCTCGCTCTCTTATCACCTTGCCCCCTCGAGTATCCTCGTCCTCCTCCCCCTCCTCCCCCCCCCTCCTCCTGCTCCGCGGCCTCGGCGCGGCGAACAGCGAGGACCGCCGACCCGCGACCGCATCCGAGGCAGAGCGCCAAGGGACGAGGAGCGCCGGGAGGGCACTGGCGCTGGGCCCCGGCGCGCGCGGCGCGCGCTGGCCCCCAGCGCCTCGGAAGAAGGGAACTGAAGCGGCCCTGGGACACACAAATAAATACACACAAATAGAAAGAATCCCCATATTTTCCCATACTTTCTGGGTTTTTGTCTTCCCCCCGCTTCCCATATTTTCGCATATTTTCTGGGGGATCGACGATTAATTGTGTCTGTGTGTTTTTTCCCCTCCTGAAACTCAGCGAGCGAAGAGCGGTATAAGATAAACTGTTTCGCCGTCGAGGGCGCCTGTCCCTGGGCGGCTGGAAAGTTTATTTTGGACGCCCGACATGGGTACCGAAAAAATGGGCACGATGCCCAACCACAAATGTTGTCCCAAACCAACAGCGGCCGCTGTTGGGCAGGCGGCCTCCTGCCTCGAATGGACACAGGCCGCGGCGGCGTGGACAGCGAGGCCTGTTCAAAATGAACAGGAACTGCTGTTGGGCATTGTACCCATTCTTTCGGTACCCATTTCGGGCGTCCAGATTTATACCCTTACGGTGGCACCGTAGGGGTATAAACTTTCCAGCCGCCCAGGGGCAGGTGTCCCCGACGCAGAAGTGTATGTTGTACCGTTCTTCGCTCGCCGAAAGAAGGGAACAACAGCTCCCTCGTCAGAATCTGGCGCAGGCGGGCCAGCTGGGAGAGTCGCGCCGCTCCTCCCGGGCGAGGCGCGAGCAGAAAGACGCCAGCCGTACATGCTCCGCTGGGAGGCCCGTCCGTGCCCATGAGGGCATGGCGTGGGAGCCGTGCTTAGCCTCGACGCCACGCTCCCCTCCCTCCCGCCTCCCCTGGGCCACCCAACAGGACCGCAGCCAGGGAGCGCAGATTACAGCGTATTGCTCCCTGGCCCGGCACTCTTCAGTTCAAAATCTAACTTGTCTTCCTTTCTGTCCTTCCCTCCAGGGTTCCCTGAAGGTTCTCCAGATGGGCCCAGATGTGAGCACACGCTGACCGTCATGCCACCGCTGCACCACCACCACCCCCGGGCCACCCTCCCAGATCGAGGTTGGAGCGGCTCCCCTCCATTTTTTAATAATTATTTTCATTATTTCTAATATATATATATATATATATATATATATATATATATTGGAGCGGCCCCCCTCCAGCTGCAAAACCTCGTCGGGACAGCTGCCGGGCGCGCCGGCCCCGCCGACCCTCCCGACGCGCCGCAGGCCGGCCCCGTGCCCCCGCCACGGCCGGCCGCTGCCGTTCTGCCCCGTGCCGTGCCGCCCATCCCCGCGTGGCCCCCGCTGCTGGCAGGCACCGCCTCGGGGCGCGCAGCGTGGCCGTCCAGCACGCGCGAGCGTGAGGGGGCCCTGGGACAGACAAATGAGTGCACACAGACAAAAGGATTCACCACGTTTTCCCACATTTTCTGGGTTTTCGTCTTCCTCCCCACTTCCCATGTTTACCCATATTTTCTTGGGGGTCGACGAATAATCGTGTCTGTGGTTTCTCCCCCTCCTGAAAGTGTAGGCACTGGCTGCTTGCAATCTGATGGGGTGTGGTATTTTGAACAGGTGCGACGCGTCGACCAAGGAGGGGGTCACCCTGCCGCAGGAGCTCGGGCCGCACGTGGGGGTTCGGCCTGATGCCGACCGTGCTCCTAGACGTGGCGCTGCACCCTCGGAGGTGCCCCTGCCCGAGGCCGGGTACCCTGCTGCTGCCGTCTTCGCGCTTGCCAGATCGTGGCGCTCCTGGTGCTGAGTATGCTCATCGTGTTCGCTGGAGCTGGCTGCTGTGGCCGCTTGCATGGCCCGCGCTCGTGCTCTACCTCATGCAGGCCCTGCTGCAGGCCTTCCTGCTGGTTATGAAGATCGTGATGTCCCTCGTGCCCTCCCCACTGCATGTCCAGCCGGTGCGGAGCCTCAGGAGACGCACAGGCCAGAGGCGTCCAGCTTGCTGTCGCGCGCTGCCAGCACCATTGCGGACCGAGCCCGGCCCCCGAAGTGCCCGAGGGGGGGAAGAGGAAACGCTGGGCAGCGAGGGCTGTGCGGGCGAGGAGGCCGCTGCCCACGGAGCTGCTGCTGCTGCTGCTGCTGCTGCTGCTGCTGCCGCGGAGGTGGGCAAGCCCCTCCCCCACAGCGACCCCTGCCGGGAAGGGGGAGGAGGCGAAGCAACGTGCGGGCCCCACCCCACGCCAGCTGCCAGAGAAGGCCCTTGGCACCGCGCTGCTGCGCGCAGGCGCGGAGGTCCGCGCGTCATGCCTACAGTCAACCCGTGGAATAAGGATGTGCGATAAGGACGCAAGGGCCTTGGACACCCATTTCGCAGCTTTTCGAGCGGGGCGCGGCCAACGAGAGCGGCCAAGGATGGGCCGAAGGACACGAATGCAGTGGTACCCTTGGGAAGGTTGCCCGTCCTTACTATGCGGGTTGACTGTATGCTCGGGGAGGCCTCCGAGACTGCACTGTGCAGCGGTGCTCACGCAGCCGACCCTGACGTTCGGGAACAGCTTACAGTAGTCGTCCTGCCTGGGCCCAGCACGGCCAAGGCCAGCTGCCCACCCCTCTGGCGGCGCTCGAAGAGACGAGCCCAGCTGCGACTACGAGGGAGTTTCTCCTCTTCCTCTTCCTCCTCCTCACCACCACCACCACCATCATCATCAGCAGCAGCACCATCATCATCACCACCATCACCACCAGCACAACCATCACCACCATCATCATCATCATCATCATCATCATCATCATCATCAGCATCATCATTATCATCATCATCATCATCATCATCATCACCATCACCATCATCATCATCATCATCATCATCATCATCATCATCATCATCATCATCGTCGTCGCCATCATCAGCAGCAGCATCATCAGCAGCAGCATCAGCAGCAGCAGCATCATCATCATCAGAAACATCATCATACTCGTCATAAGCATTATCTTCATCAGCATCATCAGCAGCATCATCAGCAGCAGCATCAGCAGCAGCATCTTACTCATCAGAATCCTTATCATCATCAGCATCAACATCATCATCATCATCATCAGCATCATCATCAGCAGCATCAACATCATCATCAGCATCATCAGCATCATCAGCATCATTATCATCGTCATCATCGTCACTGGCCGCGGGCATGCCAGTCACCCTCCTCCCCAACGGTACCGTCTGCCTCGTCCACTGCGGGTCCTTCCAGTGCAGCGTGTGCTCGAGCGTGTACACCACGCCAGAGATCGGCACGGAGTATACCCCTTTGGGGGCTGGCGGGGCCAGGCAATCAGGATGACCACACAGTCTGGCCACCGCGGCCTCTGCTGCGGGCGTCAAACACAGCTCTGGGGCGCAATGCCTTCGCGTCGGGAGGCGCATCCTCGAGTGCCCCCCTTCTCCTGCAGCGGCTCTTGCGGGATCCGAGGCCGGAAGCGGCTGGCTGGCACTGCCGAAATGGACTCCAGGTTCTTCTTACGCTCTCCGCAGGCTTTTGAATACATCACCCCCCAGGCAAAAACAGGACCAAGCGCACAAGACTGATCCATTCTCAAAGGAAGCTGGATGATGAAGCATCATGGGGCTGACTGAACAAATATCAGCCAGCGCTGACTCCAAACAGATTTGACGACGCAAATCAAGAGATCAGAGGAATCAAGCATGCTTGGAATCCGCAACTCAGCAAGCAAGCAAGCGTGCAAGCAAGCGCGCAAGCAAGCAAGCAAGCAAGCGTGCAAGCGCGCAAGCAGGCAAGCAAGTAAGCAGGCATAGGCATAGGCGTAGGCATAGGAGTTAGGGGGAAGGCATAGGCATAGGCATAGCCATAGGAATTAGGGGGGCATAGGAATTAGGGGGGCAACGGACCAATTTGAGCTAGGACTCCTATAGGGCAAGCCTACTTTGAGAATATCTGACGTGAAACACCTTGGCCCATTGGCCAATTCAATCCCGGACGGCCAGAGCTAACAAAACGTACAACTCCGCATGTAGTGTGTCCATGCTAGGTTGCATGCAAACATGTATGTATAAGCATGTTGTTGCATGTAAAACTAGGATTGGCATCGGGGTGAGCTCGCAATGGGGGGAAATAGGATTTGCGCCACGAGGAGAATCCCCGCCTCAAAAGGAGGTAGCTCTTCGAACGCCGTGAATTCGATTCGGAAGGATGGGGCACGAAGATAGAGCACCGCGAAGATGCCAAAGCATGGTGCACGCAAGATCCTGGCCCTCCTACTCCAGGATGGGCGCAACAACATCTGCTCTTCTCCTGCTCTTCTCAAGGTCGGGCGTGGGCCCTTCATCTCAACCTGACACCTTGGCTTCCAAACTCGTAGCCTACCTGTCCGCACCGTCCTCCGCTATCCAAGCGCTCCGCTGAGGGACGAGGACGTCCACCCCAGACAGCCAAAACATGTGTGCTGTATCTTCGCCCGCCCTGGGGGGCAACCAGCTAAGACTAAGGCCGTAGCCCACGACGTACAATCTTCTCAGCCTCCGCAAGCATTGGTCCCACCGCTCAAGGCCAGGGATCCCAGGAAACTAAATCAAGCACGTCCTGGCCTCAAACGAACCACCGCGAAAGAAGAACGCGGTATTGCTTTGATTGGTTGGTCGACAACTGCCCGTCCAGCGTCTGCCTTGTTCTTCGGATGGCCCTCCCACGCGCGCGCGAAGGAGGCGGAGTAGAAAGAGGAGGGATGAGGGAGGAGGGAGGACGAAGAAAGGAAGAGACCTGGGAGAGGGATGAGGGATGAGGGAGGAGGGAGGAGGGATGAGGGAGGGAGGGGAGGAGGGATGAGGGATGGGAGAGGGAGGAGGGAGGGAGGAGGGAGGAGGGAGGAGGGGAGGGGAGGGAGGAGGGAGGACGAAGAAAGGAAGAGACCTGGGAGGGAGGGGGCAAAAACCACAACGGCGGGGCCACCGTGGGGCCTCGGCGCCCCCCCGAGGTCCTGCCAGACCGGCGCCCGTGCCGCAGGCGACCAGGATGCTCCGGTGCTCCGCTTCGATGCCCTGTGCCCCCGTCCCGCCGGGGGCCGCCAGAGCCGCGCGGCGACGCACAGCCTGGCCTACTAGGAAGCCAAGATCGGCGGCGGACCTCTCGCCTCGCCGGAGGAGGGGGAGGAGGAGGAGGAGGAGGAGGAGGAGGAGGAGGAGGAGGAGGAGGAGGAGGAGGAGGAGGAGAGGAGGAGGAGGGGAGGAGGAGGGAGGAGGGGGAGGAGGAGGAGGAGGAGAGGAGGAGGAGAAGGAGGAGGAGGAGGAGGAGGGAGGAGTAGAAGGAGGAGGGGGAGGGAGGAGGAGGAGGAGGAGGAGGAGGAGGAGGAGGAGGAGGAGAGAAAACGAGAAACACAGTGGCGCGCCGGGGGGAAGTTAGAAGGAGGAGGCCTTCTCAGAAGGCGGCGGGGCCTCTCAAAACTCTGGCCTGCTGAGAACTCTTCTGCCTCTTCGGGGAAGACTCAGGAAACATCTCGGCCAGGGAACTTTCGAGCCTTCTGAGAAGGCCTTCTCCTCATCACTTCCCCCCCGGCTCGCCGCCGACTAAACAGGCGCAAACATGTAGGGAGGAGGACGTGAGCAGGGCAAGGCAGTCAAGACGCTGAGAGTATGGGCGCGATTGCCTCCATCATGCAGCTCGCACCTGTAGCCTGGGCGCAAATCTGGTCCCTAGGTTAGCAGTTTAGTCTTGATGGCATATTCGGGCTCGAAGGCTAGTTGAACGCTCATGATGGCTACCCCAGGGCCCCCTCCTCCTTTTGCGGCCTCCTGAGTTGGGTGTTAAACACACCACTTCTACGCAAGCAGCCGTGATACCGAGGGTATGCAGCGCGTCCAGGTAGCAGCAGCTGTCAGAGGGAAAAGATGGCGATGAAATGTAGGATACGTCGTGCACACGTTAAGGAACGAAAGAGGCCTCGCACAGAGGGGCAGAAGTAATGCTACTGCGAATGGAATGTCCCCCCCTCCTCCTCCTGAAGGCCTATTCGTCCTCATCCACCCGAGCCTGAAGCTGCGCATGCCCGTGCCAACGACTCTTGACTCATCACGGGGAAACTGTATACATACACACATCACAATCGCGAGCGCGCGCTTCACGCGGGCTCAAGTTCTAGCCAGGCTTGATGGGCTAACTGCAGGATGCCCCCATTTGTTCATATCCCCTCCCCGTGACCTCCAAGAGGCATCAAGACGGCCCAAGACGCCTCCAACACAGCCTATGATACCCCAGAGATGGTGTCAGAGAGGTCAAAGAAGGGCCAGAGAGAAGGACGTGGAACGGGACACGGGAGGGGCCAAGAGCAAAAAAGATGTCAGGGAGACCGAACAGCGGGGCGTAGGGGATACGGAAACACATACTGGAGCACGCCAAAGCCTGGGACAGGAGGAAACACGGGGGGTCGAACTCGAAACAATGAGCCTGGAGAAGGGCCCAACCATATGCAGTTTTGAATGACGCAAATGTGAGTACTGTCAACGGCGAAGCTTCTTATGAAGCCACGAAACGCGTAAGGAATGTAAATGCGCGCGGTGGGCGCATGCCAACGAAGCCACTAGGGTCTTCGGTGGAGTTCTCTACAGGGCCACGAAACGTGTGGGGCGGACGAATGCGAACACCACAACTGGGGCCTTCGAGGGAGCTCCCTATGGGGCCACGGAACGTGTGAGGGAGCGCCCATGGTTGTCTAACTCCGGCCTGGCTTCTTTATGCCGCTCCACTCCGTTAGTTCCCTTTTCTGTGCACTGTTCCGCAGCGTGCCCTTTCTTGCGGCACCTGTAACATTCCCGATCGCCCATCTCACCCATAGGAACAAACCCCCCTGTGCTCCAGCCTCCTGATCCTTTCACAACCGCCGTAGCTGTTTCATGTCCGTTTTTCTGCCCTTTTCGTACTGGCCGCACGTCATCTTTCCTCCATTGTTTCCGCATGCGCCCTGCGCCACCTTCATATTCATTCCTCCTCCTGTCCGACCGTTCAATGCTGCGTGCCCAAACTAAACACACTTATAGCATTTAGGCCCCTATCCTCCTCTCCGTCTTCCCTCGTGAACTGCGTCTGCACTTTCGCTTCCTTCACCCTCGTCTTTCTGTCCCCAGTTAAGATCAGTTGGACCACCACTAACCACCCAAAAGAACATACCCGCTGCAGTCCATCCTTCGCGCGCGTTCACAATGTTGCCTGGGTCTTCGGCGACTCCGCTAACGCCCCCAGTGACCATGGCATCGCGGTTTCGCGCGTCCGTGTCCAACCTTTTCTTGCGCGCCCAGTCTTCACTTTTCACATTCGGTTTAAAAGAACTGCCATGCGCCAGGGAGCCTGGTGACTTCTGGAGTATCCCTGGTGCCCTAGCCCTCGCAAAAGTCTCTGGCGTGCGCCATGACGGTTCTCGACGGAGCGACTCTGAGTGAGGGGTTTCACAGGCAGGCTGGTCCATACTTTTCCAAAGCCTCTACCAAAGCAGCCCCCTAATCTAACTGCGTGGCTACATGGCCAATATTCTTCGGCGTCTCTGGATTCATGAGTGCGCTCACTTTGGCTTACAGAGGAACTCTGCTGACTGCAGACAGCCACATCCATGTGTATATGTATATATTATGTACCTATACGACCACCCTTCGGGTGATGAGGAGTTTGTGGGGTGGGGAGGGGGGGGAACCAACATCTGACTCAATCGATCTCACTATCGATCTTACTCAACGGGACACCACGGGACACCACGGGACACTTGTCGATCTCACTATCGATCTCAATCAACGGGACACCACGGGACACCACGGGCCACCACGGGACACCACGGGACACCGCGGGACACCTCTCGATCTCACTATCGGTCTCACTATCGATCTCACTATCGATTTCACTCAGCGGGACACCATAGGACACCACGGGACACCTCGGGACACCACATCGATCTCACTATCGATCTCACGATCGATCTCACTCAACGGGACACCACAGGACACCTCGGGACACCTGTCGATCTCACTATCGATCTCACTATATATAGATCTCACTCAGCGGGACACCTCGGGACACCTCGGGGCACCACATCGATCTCAGTATCGATCTCACTATCGATCTCACTCAACGGGACACCACGGCGGGGCACCACGGGACACCACGGGACACCTGTTGATCTCACTATCGATCTAACTATCGATCTCACTATCGATTTCACTCAACGGGACACCACGGGACACCTCGGGGCACCACATCGATCTCAGTATCGATCTCACTATTGATCTCACGATCGATCCCACTCAACGGGACACCACGGGACACCGCGGGACACCACGGGACACCCGCGGGACACCAGCGGGACACCGCGGGGCACCGGCCGCCGGAGGACTTACATTTGGTCCGGCCGCGGCCCAGCCACAGGAGGATTTCGGGACACCCGCGGGACACCGGCGGGACACCGCGGGGCACCGGCGGCCGGAGGAGTTCCATTTGGTCCCGCCGCGGCCCAGCCTCAGGAGGATTTCCTCTCGCCCGCCCACGCAGCTTCGCCTCGCCCGCACGCACGCATGGCACGCACGACACGAACCCGAAACCGAAATCGATTTCCCGGTAGAGGGGTCTCCGTTTCACGTCGGACTCACCCCCTCACCTCCGAGATATACATTTATACATATATATATATATATATATATGCATATATAGACTGGTACGCGTGCAGTAAATCGCCTTCTCGAAGTCCCTTCACATGTCCCCTGGGTTCTGCTCCATCTACTTTGTCATCCAGGATGCACCACATGTCCTCATCCAACGTGTGTACCACGTCATCTGTAATTTCCAGCTCTCCTTTGTTGACGTTTTCGTCTTGCTCAGCCTGGCCTATTATTGTGCATTATGCAGCCATTAACCTCCCGTTGGGCATCCTGGCCAAGTCGTCTTCATCATCCTTGTCACGTAGCGCTCCATCCAAAGTTCCAACTCTGTCGCCAAGGTTCTTTAACGTCTTCCGAATAGTGAGGATTTACTTGCGCCACAGCATAAAAATAGTTCCGCTCACGGAGCTTGGTTCGATGTCCTGCGAATGTATCCAGCTGCTGCGTGTTTCTGTATTCCCTAACTGGCTGGTGTCAGACCTCCCCCAGCTCGGCTTCATTTTCATTGATCGATTCCGCAACTTTGGTCACCCACTGCATCGTGTCCTTTTTTCTTTTTTGAGTCAATATGTTCCTCCAAGTTTTCAACATTCAAAAAGAATAAAGTAGCTGTTCCTTCTGCGTACAAGTTCCTGTTGGCGATGCTTAGCGACATGAGGTTCATCATGATCATGATGATCATCATCATCATCATCATCATCATCATCATCATCATCATCATCATCATCATCATCATCGTCTTCATCATCATCATCATCATCATCAGCATCATCATCATCATCGTCGTCGTCGTCGTCGTTATCATCATCATCATCAGCAGCAGCACCATCATCAGCATCATCAACATCATCAGAAGCATTATCAGCATCATCACCATCATCATCATCAGCAGCAGCAGTTTCATCAAGACATCCATCCCCCCGGCCATGGCGTCGGCCAAGTGCCCCGCGTACATCGCGGACATTTCACGCGGCGCGGCTTCCCGGCCCACAGAGCCGCCCAGAGCGACGACGATGTCCTGTGCGGCGCAGGGCACGAGGCGATGAGACCAGTCCGCCAAGCAGTAAGCATGAGCCAAGATTCAAACATACCAGCACTGCGTCCACAAGACGACGAGGCATAATACAGTACAAACGAAGACAGCCAGGAGCGTAAGACAGCAAGAGCAAGGATATGGACAGACTCATGGGATAGAAAGGAGGAGGAAGAAGAGGGAGCGAAGGAATACGCAGGACAAGGGGACGGAGAAGAGGAAAGATCACCAGCTACGGGCATGCCCGTGTTGGTGATACACCAGCTACGGGTATGCCCGTGAGCCGGCGAGGCCAGACAGAACAAGTGGCACGCATGCCATGGCTCTTGCACATAAAAAGAGGGGGGAGGATAAGAAGGTGGAGGAGGTGCTCCGAGATGGCTCCCAAAATGGCTCAAGAGAGAGCTCAATATGGCTGAACCTGGCCCCAACCATGCCTCCAAGACGCACCAAGAGGGCACCAAGACGCCCCAAGCGCTTTCGGAGCACCCTCGGACCCCCCCCCAAGAAGCCCAAGTCCTTCAAAGACTTGACAAAATCCAGTAAATTGTTCATTGCCGCTTTTTCGATTCCGATGGGCTATTAAAGCCTCCATGCTGGGCTGGTTGGGGGGAGATTAGTGCAGGTGCCGTTCGCGCGTGCCGAAATGAAGTGGTCGGGGCGGAGGGGGCGCGCGGGCTGGGGGGCGAGGGGGAGCTGGGCTGGGTGGGGAAGGGCGCGGTGCCAGTGCCGCGCAAGCGTGCCAAAATAAACCGGTCGGGGCAGAGGGGGCGCGCTGGTTGGGGGGCGAGGGGGAGCTGGGCGCGCTGGGAGGGAGGTCGCCGGTGCTATGCGTCCGCGCATGATAGAAATGGTCGGAGCTCTAGACACCCTGTGCACGGGAATCAAACAACTTGGAGGTCGGATGCTGTCAAATCTCTACTCGAGCAGTGCTGGATCCTGGTAGACGCCATGCCTGTCCGTAGTCTTCCAAAAGGAGAGGTCAGCAGGACGCTCCCGAAAGCGCGGAGACCCTCCATGACGGCATCACGAGATCTCAAAATAGCTTTCGACTTGGCCCGAAGAAGCTCCCATGATGCATGAAGACGAACTTCACCCGAAACAGGTTACCATCGAGCCCTGAGGCGACCAAACTGCAAGAGGTATCGATGTTGGTGTTGGCCCTGATCGCCTCTACAGACCCTGAGGGCCTGAAGGGCGCCCATGGTAGTCCCCCAAAGTATGAGAATCGTGACTTTGGAATAGAATGGGACGACTGCGAGAAGAGGTGCCTGCAACATCGCGTTGAGCCAGGTAACCGCTATTGGCATCTTCTGGCCCTTGATGCTATCCTTGCGCGGAGCATGACACTCCATGAATGGTGCGAGTCGTGGCGGGGAAGGCAGGCAATATCTTCGCGTCTTGGTCGGATTCTAGCCAAAGTGCCCATGCGCCACGCTCAAACAGTGATACGCGGTCCTGCAGATACACTCTTACATACATCTCGACAAGCAGTCGTCGAAGAACATGCTAAACTGGGATGAATGCGCGAATGCTCGTTTGAATCGGACTCACACTTGGCACTTATTCGCGAGTTTCCTTCGCAAGAACGATCAGCGTGCTGCAAATCACATTGCACGAGGCATCTGTTGAAACCGAACAGCCCTCTTAGCATGGGCAATTTGGAGTTCCATGTCTTCCAGAACAACCCGTCTTCCCCTCCGGGGAATATAAGACCCATCCCCCGTACTCATTCCCTAGTGGCGCAGACCTGGGGTTACGACCAGGTAGAGCCTCCAAGATTGCCATAACAGCTCAAACCTGGTCGCAGCCCCGCAGCCCAAGGTAACCTCTAACATGGCTCAGGTACCCTCTAACATGGCTCCAAGAGGCCCCAAGAAGGCCCTCAGATGGCTCTGAGTCGGCCACGAGCCTTCCAAGGATGCACTCGAGATCCGAGAGGCCAAACTACGAGAACTAACCCCCATGTTTCAAGGGATGTGGTTCAATGCGTTCGGATGGGCCTTTGGGCCTCAAAGTACCCCAAGACTGTCCAAGCAGTCCAGGGACCAGAACAGTCCCAAGAGGGCAGCAAAGGAGGATGCGCCGCTGGCTGTCCCCAGGGGGGGAGGTCGAACCCCCTCCTGCCCCTGGTTCGTGGTCGGCGGACCCCCGCCCCCCCGCTTTCCTGATCCGTCGTCGGCGGACCGCCCCCCTTTCAAAAGGAAGGGGGGGTTCGGACCCCGTCCCGTCCTGTCCTTTGGATCCGAAGTTCGGACCCCCCCCTGCTCCACCCCTTTCGATGAGGGTCGAACGCCCCCCTTGACTCTGGGAGCCCCTAGCTCCAGAACCCGACCCCCGACAACGACGACAACGACGACGGCGACGACGACGACGACGACGACGGACGACGGACGACTGACGACTGACGAAGGACGACGGACGACGACGGCGACGGCGATGACGGCGGCAATGACGACGACGACGACGACGACGACGCTAACCCCACCATAACCACTAACCCTAACCCTAACGCTAAGCCCTAACCCCTGACTCATACCACCTTTCCCCTAGTCTCTAAGTCCATAGCCCCTAATCCTTTCTCATACTCTAGCCATAACTCATAGCCCATTAACCCTAACTCTCACCCTCACGCACTCACCCTCACCCTCACCCTCACCCTCACCGTCGCCCTGCCCCTACCCCTACCCCTATCATAACCCCAACAGTAACCCCTTACCCAAAGCCCTAACCCCTCGCCCCAAGCCCCTAACCCCGAACCCCATACACCTCGAACAATTGATCCTAACCCTGACTGCCCATTACCCTGACCAAAACCCTAAGCCTAACCCTGCTACCCTAATACTGGACCCCATCAACCCCCGAACCCTCACCCTGACACCGTAACCCTAACCCTAGCCCTAATATTAAACCTCCCGAACCCTAACCACCCTAACCCCAGCTCCCTAATCCCCTAACCTTAACCCTAACACTGATCCTAACCCTAACACCCTAACGCCCTAACACCCTAACACCCTACCTCCCTAGCCCTAACCCTAATCCTTACCCCCTTACCCTAACACTCTGACTCTAATCCTACCGCCCTAACCCTGCCCACCTTGCCCTCAGAGCCTTATCCTATCACCATAACCCTAAACCCCTAACCTTAACCGGAGCCATCTAAGCATCACCCTAACACACTAACCTGAATCCCCTAACCATAACCCCAGCCCCTAGTTTTAACCCTAACACCCTAACCCTAAGCCCCTTACCCTAATCCGAAACCGAAACACCTCACCCTGACCCTCTAACCCCGATAACACCTTTATCCGAACCTGAACACCCTAAACGAAACCCTAACCCTATCACCCTAGCCTTAACCCCCTAACCCTCATCCTAGCCTGCACACCCTAACCCTAAGCCTACCACCTACCACCCTGACCCTAAACCCCTGACGCTAACCCTAACAACCGAACCCCAACCCAAACCGATAACCCCTAACCCCTAGCCCTATCCTCTAACCCTAACCCCATCCCCCACTCCCACGGTCCTTAGCCTAATCGTAAACCGAACCTTGCTACCCTAACGCTAATCCTAAACCCCCCGCACCCCTTAACCCTAGCCCCAACAGCCTAAACCTAACCCCATAACCCGAACCTTAGACCTAATCCTAATCGTAACCCTACCACCTTAAGCCTAATCCCCTAGCATCCTAGTCTAACCGTAAGCCCCCGTAGGCCCCACCAACCCTAACACCCACACAGCCTAACCCTAAACCTAGCATCCAAGCCCTAACCCGACCACCCTAATCCTATCCCTCGACGCGAACTCTGAAACCCTAACCCTCCCAACCTAACCCTACCACTACCACCCTAACCCTGCCCTCAAAACCCTAACCCTAACCCTGACACCCGAATCCGAACACCCCAACCCGAACCCTTACCCGCTAACTCTAACACCCAAACCCTAACCCCAACCCTCATAGACCTAACCCTAAACCCGAGCCCGCCTCACCCTATCATCCTCACCCCTAACCCCCTCACCCCCGAACCCTAACTCTAGCCCCTAGCCCTAACCATAACCCCAACCCTATAACCCTAACCCTAACCTCCTAACCGCCCAAACCACCCACCCCTCAACCCTAAGACCCTACCACCCTAACCTTAATCCCCGAACCCTCTAACCCTAAAGCCCCAACCCCAATTCCCTGACCCGAACACCCGCACCCTCATCCCCACTATGGCCCCTTCGGCCGTCCCGGGCGCTCTGGAGACCGAGAAGCCGAGTAGGCGAAAATTGCACCGAAACCTCAGAAACGCATGATTTTTGCCTCCCGGGGGCCTCTTGGGAGTCGTCTTCGGGCGCCCTTAGGCCATCTGGGGAGCCCGTTGGGCCGTCGAGTGCCCGTCATTGGGCCCTCTGGGGCCCATCGTGGCCGTCAGGGGGCGCTCGTCGAGCCCACCAGAGGCCTCTTGGCGCCATCCGAGGCCGTCTTGGGACCGTCTAGGGCGGTCAGGGGCCCTCCTGCTTGGAGGCGCTGCGCTCTTACTGTAATTTAGCCGCGCTTATAACTAGGTTATAATTAGGTTATAAGTATGTTATAGATAAGTTATATCAAGTTACAACTGTTATAACTATTCTTATGTTTGATAACTTCAACCCTCTACTTAGGCGGACTTACTAACTCTGATAATTTCTCTAACTTTTAACATGGTTGCAACAAAAAACACAATGTGTGCGTTCAAAAGACGCAATGACATCATTGATTTTCGTTGACGCCACGCTCAGATTTCAGCCCCCCGTCCACTCAGGATCGTGATTATACGCAATGCCATCATTGATTTCCGCTGACTGGTTTCAGGCCCCGCCCACTCAGGATTGCGATTTCTCGCATCGCACACAAACGAATTCGCTTTCAAGTTAACTTAACTGTTTGGAGAAAAACACGTTCGGCCACGAAAGGCATGTTGCATGCCGTTGATCCGTAGAACATTGGGGCTCAAAACAAGGGGTTGCGTGTTCATTTCTGTACACATTGCAACGTCATGGCCCTAGTTTCTCCCGATGGTTCTGCAGGACGCCTGCAAAAGTTGATTGATCAATGCAGGCCCCGCATGGCCGAGATATCTAAAGCATTTGACAAAGATGATGCAGCTGTTGTTGCTCTTTATGAAGAGGCAAAACATATTGCCAGAGCAAACAATATGTTGTCACGGGAAAGAATACATTCTAAATACATGGATGTTGACACGTCAAACAGATACGAGGATGGTGTTGTACCAAGTGATGTGACAGATCTTATCAGCAAGATCTACAACAACGGTTTCAGGCACGAGCATCTTCTGATGCCAACGTGTGCCGAATGCCCTGCTCCAAACACTGCAGAGTTCGCTGAAATCAAGAGGTTTAGCAACAAGGTGATCTCGGATTCAGCAGGACAACTGCCTGCTTATGCAGACGACGGCAAGTACGTCTCATTCACATGCGGCCACACGTCTCAGGGGCTTCGGTGCATCTGGCACGCGTCGCCGGTCCCTGAGACAGATCCAGAGAGGTTTGCGACAGTGTCGCAAGATGGTAAGTTCTCGGTTTCGCGGCTCCAGGAATCGCAACCACTTTACGCAGGAGCGGTGAACGAAGGGATCACGTGGGATGTCTTCAAGTGGGCATTCATCGAAGCCTTCCCCTTCATACCGCCATTAGCACAGGAGGCGGGGAATGCAGGCCAGGCTGCGGCCAAAGGCGAAACGAGATTGGAAGTGATGCTGAACATTGCTGCATCAGCAAAGAAGACGCTGAAGGCGAACAATAAAATTGAATGGGACAGCGTGAAGCGCGAGGCGATGAGGGGGTCTGGGCACGCATACAAGCACGAGATACAAGATCTATGCACATATGTGCACGAACTGAGCGGTGGCGTCGACAACCCGTGGGCTCTGTACGAGCTAAGGGATTTCTGCCGCCATTTGAAGATACAGAAAGTTGTGAAAGGAAGTGTTGCAGCAGCCTTGGCCACGACCAAGATTGGTGGCAAGGATGGCGCTGCGCCGCTCTTCCGATTTGCTTGCATGACGGCGATGAGTTCGGCATCTTTGAAGTTTTCCAAGGGGGAGGAGCAGACCCTTTTGAGGCCCTCCGAGATTTCGGCGCTCGCAGCCGATAAGAAGTCCCAGATTGTGTTGCAGGGGGAAGCGGTGTTGATAAAGGTGCGAGAGATCGCAGACGAGCTTGGCGTTCGCAGCGACGCCGCCGCCTGGAGCACCACCATCGGCCTTGCCGATGTCAGAATGGTACACTTCGTTCTCAACAAGGCTGACGAGCCCCGTGGAACCTTTACCAACATTACACACAT